AGCTCTCCGAGCTAGCTAAATTTAATAGAAAAAGATTAGAGTTTCGGTCGTAGCTTACTTAAGCTCGAGCTAAGTTAGCGGTCGATAAGTAAGAGAAAATCGAAGTCGTACGATTTTAGTATTTCTATAGTAGACTAAGGGATTACGTTCTTACCTAGGTTAGCTCGTAGATTAATTTTATATAATTAATCCTCGAAATAAATATAGAAGGACTTATTAGTTAATTAAAGGCGGCGTACGAGGATATCGACGCCGTAGAGAGAGTATTATAAAAACTTTCTTAGCTAAAGTAGAACGAAAAGTCCTTTAGTATATTTCTCGTCGAGTTTAATCGTACGCTACTCGAGGCCGGCGGACTAAACTAGGCCGACTCGGTAAAGAAGATATTTATATTAAATTACCTTTCGTACGACTTAAAGAGCGCCCTCGTTATAACGCTAATTCTATTAACTTATAGGGAGTACTATATTTTCTTCTATACGATTAGTATAAATCTAGAGACTCTTCGATAGAAGAAAGCTAAAGAGAAGATATCTAGAAGTAACCTATTCGGTACTACTAGTTATATAGAAGATAAGATAGATTAGACGCCGACGATATAAGCTATAGCGTCCTTAGCGGGACTATAGAGAGCTTTATAAGTATCGTAAACGATACTTAACTAGAGAAAGAAGCTCGGAGCGTATCTTCGTTATAACTAATAAAGTTACTTTATTATTAAATATTCTTTCCTTTCCGTCGTACGACCTAAGATAAAGAGGAAAGTAGTAGTACTAAAGATTATAAACGATAATAAGGAACTATTAAAAGAGTAGCTTCTACTAGAAGTCGTCGATAGAAGCGTACGAAGAAGACGAAGAAGGAATAGAAGATTTTTCGGCCCTCGATAGACGACTAATTCTTTATAGTTTTATTACTTTTAGATAAGTAATATTATATATCGGCTTTAATTAATTCTAGTTATTTATTATACAATTTAATTAACTCTCGCTTCGCTTCTCGCTATTCTTTCGAGCGTATTCCTATTACTTCTCGTTCGATCTTCGAATTCGACTCCTTCGTACGATCTAAAATCTTCGAAGTAGCGAAGGTTAAAGTCGATATCGATAGCTATAAGAAAATAGTATTCTTTTATATTATTCCGAACCTAGCGTACGAAATTATTCTTAGCCTACTCTAGATAAAGAAGAACGGCGTATATCTTAGCGTCGTAAACGATTTTCTCTTAATAAACTATTTCGATCTAAAGATCTATAATATACTACGAAAACTACGTACGTCCTTAGACTATAGCTAGGTCTTCGTCGTAGTATTCGATCTACTAGCTTAGAGAAGTAAGAAGTATATAGAAATCTAGGTATTCTTAGCGATAATAGCGAATATTAAAAAAGTACTTAGAGTAAAGACGCCTACTAATTCGCGTACGAAGCTTCCTTAGTAGTACTACTATTTCTTAAATATCTTTAGTCGTACGAAAGTAGAAAAGTTACTTTCTTTACGAGGAAAGAAGATCGACTACGCGATCGACCTCGAACTAAAAGACGAAAAGAAACCTTAAGTTTCGTAGAGCCCGCTATATAATATATCTCGAGACGAACTCTTAATACTACGACGTACGCTTATTAAACTTCTCGATAAGAAATTTATTAGAGTAAGTAACTCGTTAGCGGCGGCTCTAGTTTTCTTCGTACGAAAGCTAGGAGTAAAATTACGATTCTATATTAACTATCGAGAACTAAATAAGTTAACGAAGAAGGATTAATACCTATTACTACTAATCTACGAGACTCTACGAAATATCGAATAAGTAAAGTAGTATACGAAGCTCGATATTATCGCGGCCTTTTATAAAATTCGAATTATAGAAGGAGACGAATAGATAATAGTATTCCATATAAGATATAGCCTTTTCGAATAGCTAGTTACTTCTTTTAGACTTACTAACGCGCCTAGTACGTTCTAGAAGTATATTAACTAGGCCTTACGAGATTACCTTAACGTTTTCTACTCGGCGTACGTAGACGATATTCTAATCTATTCTTCGAAAATATAACGAGAGTATTAAAACTACGTACGAAAAGTCTTAAGTCGACTCCGCGAAGTAGAGCTTTAGATCGATATCGATAAATATAAGTTCGAAGTTAAGTCGATAAAGTACCTAGAATTTATTATCGACGCGGAATAAGGCGTACGAATAGATCTAGTAAAGGTTATCGTAATCTAAGAATAGTAAGCTTCTAAGTCTATTAAAGGCGTCTAGAGTTTTATCGATTTCGTAAACTTCTATCGAAAGTTTACTAAGAGTTTCTCGAAAATAATTCTACTAATTATAAAACTCGTACGAAAGGATTCGACTTTCTATTAGAATTCGAAAGTCGATATAGCGTTCGTACGACTAAAAAAGATATTTATAATAGCTTCGATCCTCGCTCTATTTAACTATATAA